GGATCCAGCGGATGGCAAGGACCAGATCACATGTTTTTTTGAATTGGGTTGGAAATTAAAAACAACCGAATGGAGCCCCTGTCTAGCTATACATATATCCGCAAACCCCTGGAGGAGGTGGTGGGCAGAGCTGGAATAACTGGCATTATGGTGACGGCGGATCCGCAGGATATGGATTCTTGGACCTATACGTACCCGAAACCCTAAACCACCCTAAACCCCTAAACCCCTAAACCCCTAAACCCTAAACCCCGAAACCCTATATTAAAGCCGCTTCGGGAACCCAATAGACAATTATATCATTTTCTAAGTACGGAGTATGTATACATATACATGCATGTGAACCGAGGACATGGATGGGGACAAGGATCGTACCAGCAGCAGGGAGGCGGAGGATATGGTTTCTAGGCTTGGTTTTTAAACCCTTTCTTCCGGGATTTGTTTGTCCTTATAAGCCCTTAATTTAAACCTTGAACCGTAAAACCTAAACCACAAACCCAAAAGCCTGCTATGCCTAAACCCCGGAACCTTTAGTTCTACTTATCTGATATGGATACTGAATACACATAGCCAAACCAAACCGAGGATGGCCAGGATGGCCGAATGATGGGACCGGCGGATCCACAGGATCCACAGGAGATGGTTTCTAGGCATGGTTTTAATCTCATAACCTAATCTTGTGGAAGGGTTTGTCCTTAAACCCTAGTAGCCCTGAAGCTTAAAACACAAACCCGAAACCCAATTCTAGAACCCATACTTCTACTTATCTGAAAACAACCTAATGCATACCCAGAACACTCAGCCAAGGACAGGGCAACGCAGACGGTGGACAGGGTGCCACAGGCAACGGTGGAGATGGAGGAAAAGGATCCTAGGACTCATGGACTCTAGGATTGAAGCTTTTTGATTATACAAAGAATTCTAGTGCTTAAACCAACCTTGTGAACACCCAGAGCACTCAGCCGAGGAAAGGGTGCCAAAGGCAAGGGACCTGGAAAAGGAGCCTTGGGTTGAAGTGAACATTTGGTTTGTTTTAGGTACTGTGTGTGGTAAAGCCCCAAGCCCAAAACTAACACGCAGTAGGCTTGAAGTGAGCCTATTTTACTTTCGTGTCTCGTCTTGCTGGAACCCCATGCCCAAAACCCGAAACCGCTGAACCCCATCCCAGGTGACGATGGCACTGGAGGACTCCAGTGACAACCAAATTGTAGCCTGGATATTTGTTGATTGGTTTGAAAGAGTGGGTTGGACAGCCCTGACAGTGGGTTGGAAAGCCCTGACAGTGGGTTGGAAAGCCCGGAGTATAGAATAGGAGAACATGAAAATCTCCAGGACCAACCATCGTCGAGGCTGATGAGGGCCTGTCGCCCCGCACCGTGCAGGCCATCAACCGCGACCATCCGAGAGATTTCCTTTACCAATGCCGGCAATGTGGAAGGTACACGTACATAGGAAGACAGTCCTTCCTCCGAAGCGAGGACAGCAAGGGTTGTGTCGACAGTGCATGTGCTTCGTTTCGTGGCCGGTCGAAAACAAAGGGACTCTACCGGATGTTGCACCGGAATGGAGTGACACCCGAAAGTTTGGGTTTGTTGGATCCATAGGAAGTTTGTGTTTGGTGGATATAGGACTGGTAACCACTAGGACTCTTAGGAACAACTGCTATTCGGATATCTACTGCTACTGCAACTACGACTACTACTACTACTACTACTACGACAGCTACAGAAAACTTTCAGGTGTCACTCCATGAAAACCCTTTTTCTTCCGCACGTGGTGGGTGGATAGCCACGCTGCAGACGCCGTGGGTCTTCCGTGTGGAGAAAATGAAAGCCGAAAGAGGGGTTGGAAAGCCCGGAGCCAAATGTATAACCCTGAGCCCATAAAACATTGAAGCCAATAATACATAAGTCCCGGCAAGTAAAACCCGATAGATTCTGACCCCCAAAGTGTACTCCACCACAAAAGGGTTGGCAAGACCGGCTGGATTGACAGCATAAAGCCTGAACTCAATATGAGTAGCGGCAACTCAAACCCGAGAGGTGGACGCCCATTGAAAACCAAAAGGGTTGGAAAGCCCTTCAGGAACCCTATTACTTAGGAATCCCAATAATGTCAACTAGACTAGATACACTAGTAATGAAGTACAGGAATAAAAAGTAATTGAAATAGTTAAAGTATTTGTATATGAAATAAACAAAATATTCAAAATAGATTATGACATTCTGTAAAAGGAATTCAAAGACGTCACTTAAAATAGATACTGGTTACACTATTCATGAAGTATATGAATCAAAGTAATTGAAGTAGTTAAAGGATTTGTATGGAATATATCAAATATTTTAAATACATTATGACATGTTGTAAATGGAATTCAGTGACGTCACTGGATACTGGGTACACTATTCATGAAGTATATGAATCAAAGGAAATGAAGTAATTAAAGTATTTGTATGGAATATGACGTCACTTAAATTAGATACACTATTAATGAAGTACATGAGTGAATGTAATTGAAAAAGTTAAAATATTTGCATGGAATAAATTAAATATATCCAATACATTATGACATCATGTAAACGGAAAACATCTATAATAATCAAAAAAAAAAGAAAACACACACAAAATCATATGAAGAAATATGAATAACCATGAAGATCCATGAAATCATATGAAGGAACATGAAGAGCCATGAAGAGCCATGAAGAGCCATGAAGAGCCATGAAGACCCATGAAGAACCATGAAGAACCATGAAATCATATGAAGAAATATGAATATTTATGAAGTGGCATGAATTTAATGAATAAATTAAATATATTGAATTAAATTAATTAAATTAAATAAATAGAATCAATAAATTAAATAAATTAAATATATTGAATTAAATTAAATTAATTAAATTAAATAAATAGAATCAATAAATTAAATAAACTAAATAAACTAAATTAAATTAAATTAAATTAAGTTAATTAAGCAAATTAAATACATCAAATAAACTTAATTCAATGAAATAAGTTGAATTGAATAAGTTAGATTAAATTAAATAAATAAATTAAATACATTAAATACACTTAATTAAATTAAATAAACTGAACTAACTAAATTAAATTAAATAAATTAAATAAATTAAATACATTAAATAAACTTAATTAAATTAAATAAATTGAACTAACTAAGTTAAATTAAATTAAATTAAATCAAATTAAATTAAATTAAATTAAATCAAATTAAATTAAATTACATTAAAT